CAGTGGTGCCAAGGCAGGGAAGTCCATTATCATCTGTCGTTTCCTGATTCCTCCATCTGCAACGGCACACTCTGCTTTACTTTTCCCCAAAGCACTCATCACCCTCCGGCAGAAATGCACATGTTCATCACCAACCTCCCTAGTGGAACATGAGCCCCGGCAGTGGGCTCCCTGAGCATCCTAGGATCCCGGTGTCCAGAGCGGGGCTGGCACGTGGGAAGTGCTCAAAGAATGTTTGTTGAATGAATCGATGGTAGACCAGATAGCTCAGAGGAAGAGCTTTGTGCTCCTCACCCCCCTAAGGGGAGGACCTATTCACAGGAGCAGGAAATCTCCAAGATAATGTGACTTCTGTCTACCTTGCTCACCTACTGGGATACAACAGGCGATGCATATCTGGAGTTATGGATTGTATACTTCGACCCTCGTCCTTGGGGTGAACCCATCCATGTGGTTTCCAGTGTCCCCCATCTCACTTTTCTCACTTCCCTCTCATACCTCTGACTCATCAAAAATCCTCCAGTTCTTCTAGGCCAGCTCCAGCTTATCAGCTGTCCAGGAAACATAATTCCTTCTGCCATGATACCACCCACTTGGATTTTTGCTGACTCCCAGCTCCCAGTGGCCTTGGGGCCACTTCCCTACTCCCGTAACTGTGGGGCTGATGCTTAGTCAGTGGAGGTTTAGTGGGCACCTGCCCTGTGCCATGCCTCGGTGGAGTGGAGGAGGAGGGAAGGCGAAGGATGGCCCATACCAAGATGTAAAAGGCCCTGAGAGTTCTGGGTGCACTGGCCCTCATGTAGTTGGAAGTGATGGCATCTTTATTGGGGGTCAATAGGGTTACTGGCTATCAGGAGAGGGTGACTTCTTTTGTCTTCAGGGATCCACATCAGGTTGCTTCTGATCAGATTGCTAAGCACAGCTACTCCCTGAGCATTTGCTGCTGGTGGTGGTGGGCCCCGAACATGGATTTAATTTCCTTTGGACCATATGCTTCATGTAGATGATAACATTACTTAAAATTTATGGAGGTGCTCTTACTCCCTAATCTACTCTATTTCTAGAATGGTGAGGAAGGGGGGGGGGGCGGTCAGATCTCTTCCTCAGATGGAAAATGACCAGCACCCCTTCTGCAATGTCCACACTCCCAACTAGGGCTTTTCTTTTATATCAGCAGGAATCTGAGCAGATGAAGATACGAGTCAAAAGCATGTTCAAACATCAGAAGTTTCTCCATATTAATAATGTCTAATGCTTATGTCACCTTGGGGTTCTTGGCCTCTTTAGAGCCACACACAGGTGATCAGTTGAATGGTTTTGTTTTTTTGGTTTAATCTGATGGCTCTTTCTCATTATTTTCTGAACATGGCTTTGCTCTGCTTCCTGGAACGGGAAACAAATGGTTCAGATGAATCCTGAGAGGAGGGGTTTTGAAATCTTGCCCTCTGACGACATGGCTGCTCAGAGGTACATTTGGCCAGTGGAGAGAGCACTGGGATTCCTCTGGAATATGGCCGCATTGGCTGTGAGCATTCAGTATGCTCATGGGGCCTCAGAACCCCATGAAAGGCAGAAGATCGCCCTTCTAAGGCTTGGGGAATAGTGGGTTGGACACATCAGGTGTTATAACTTCCTGCGTGATGTGCACCAAGTGGAGAGATCCCTCTTAGGTTTCTCTCCAGAGCCCCTCCCGGGAGCGGAGCCCCTTTCCCCATGTTTGTGTCCTCTTTCCTCCCCCCAGGAGCCCAGCACTTTAGTTTACCTTCTGTCTTATCAGAATCCAGGGGTTTAGTACATTTCAAATATCAATGAGTCTAGAGATGATTTTTAATGTCAGAGAACTGCCAATGGTGGCATTTCCGCGGAGTGTTTTAAATAGGAGTGGGCCTTGACTCACCTGTAGGTGGCTGAAGATGATTTGGCTCTGCCAAGGTATCACATTGGGCCTGAGCTATATGTTCATACTAGAGGCCCGGTGCATGAAATTTGTGCACGGGTAGGGTCCCTAGGCCTGGCTGGTGATCAGGGCCAATCGTGGCCTTTTGGCTGCAGGCCACGGCCTCCCTTTGTTCCGCGCCACCCCTGGTGGTTACTGCATGTCATAGCGGGCGATTGAAATCCAGGTCTCCCCGTCAATCTCCAGAGGGGACAATTTGCATATTAGGCTTTTATATATATGGATGGCATGAGTGACTACAAGTTGGGACAATTTTAATACCCTCCTAGGAGTTCCCTCAGAGAAGTCTACCTGAGGGGCCCATTTTTCACTCCTGGCCAGCTCCGCGGCTAAGAAGTGGCCCCTTCCCGGCCTGAGCATCCTCACTGCACCCCAGCAAGGCACGGGGCTCCCAGGCCAGAGGCTGCAGGGACTCTGCTCTGGGGTTATCTCTGACAGCCTGTCCTCTCCTGCGGCCTGGAGGCTGGGTCTGGCGGCTGCCACCTGCGGGATAGAAGCAGCACATGGGGTGTTCTGGTTGGAGACGCCACGTGGATGAGATACAAAGTCCGGCTTTGTGCCACCTGCGCAGGCATCCTCGTCTAACAGGGACACGAAGGCTGCCCTGCAGGATGGGACAGTCTGGGGTCGAGCTGGAGCCTTGGGATACACAAGCGCGAGGTGCTCGCACCCCTCTCGGCCGAGGTCGACCCCGGTTTCCTGCAGGGACGTTCTCGCGCAGGGTTTTCAGTGGGTGGCGGGGTAGAGGTGACGACGATACAAATGAGCCCCCACTGCAGCCCGTCCAGCGTCTGGGGGCCCCAGGGCGGACTGGATGCGACAGGATGAAACCG